TATTACTTCATCTTACTGGAGTTATTAGAACTTTCTACTATTATTGTGCTTAGATAATTATATTGTCCTACCTTTGTCTCTGTACAAATTAGGATCTGTCTGTAGTTACCAGTATGTTCCTGTAAGAATTTATTGTATACAACTAAGATGTTCTATTGTAACTTTGTGCTGGCTGAATGGCCGTAATAAAAGTATTGATTGATTGATTGATTGATTGATTGAAGCTTTTGATTTTTTAAAAAATGGGTGTTATTGCACACCTCTGTGCCCAGTCCGAAGGCATCGCGTACCTGATCTTGGCATCCCATACCCTATCTGTACTTCTCCAGCACTTTTTGAAAGAACAGGAGTTTCCTGTTCTTTGCAAACTATGGGGAAAGTATGGATCGGATCTGGGATGTCAAGATTGGATACGCAGTGCCTCTGGATAATAACCGTTTTAAAAAAAAGTTTTCAAAAGTTTCAGCCCATGCTGAGGCTGGGCAGAAATGCAGTGCAATAGTCTCCACCAAAGAGACCACAAGGGCCATCTGATCCAGCCCCATTTTGCCTTTCAGCAAGACAGAATCAAAGTATCCCTGACAGATGGCCACCCAGCCTCTGTTTAAAAACCTCCCTAGAAGGTGAGTCCAGCACACTCCAAAGCAGTGTTTTCCACTGTCAAACAACTTTTAGCATCAGGAAGTTTTTCCTAATGTTTAGGTGGAATCTCTTTTCTTTTAGTTTGAATCCATAGCTCTGGGTCCTGTTCTCTGGAGCTGCAGAAAAGAAGTTGCGCCATCCTCAATATGACATCCCTTCAAATATTTAAACAAGGTTATCATATCACTGCTTAACCTTCTCTTCTCTGATATATGGTAGCTTCTGCTCTCCAAGATGTGTGGGGATAAGAAGCAATGCCCCTTCATTCCTTATACGTCTCTTGCTCTTTCTGCTATATTTTTTTCTGCACAATGCTTTTACGCATTTGAGCACTCTCAGGCAAGAGTGTTGTTAAATAAATATTTTAAAATAAGCTGAAGCTGGACTGCACAACCGTCATTTCCACCATTGCATCAGATGGTTTCTGGCTTGTTTTATCTGTGTAGATTAACAGGATGGAATCTTTTTTAACAGCATGCCTTTACTCTCATTATGGATGGAAGGGTGGAATCTATTGTCCAAAGGCTTCTCCAGCTCTTCAATATTTTATTATGAGATGCCACAGAATGATGCTTGGGCACTTGGGCCTGTATTTGAGGATTCTGTTTTCAAAATCCCTTTTTGGTGGTGGTGGAGGGGAATGAAAGCTGTATGAAAGCTGCATGTCCGAGCTCCCTGCCAACATCCCCTCTCCCCATACACACACTGTTTAATTTAGTCCATTTTTGCAACTCTGTAGGGAGACATTACCACCAGCTCTTGCCTCATTTTGGAGGCCCGTCTTTAATTTTTGATAAGCGCTAGTAATAACACAGGCACTCAATCACATAGGAAAGGAAAGTATGATGGCAAAGCAGTCATAAAAATGTCAGGAAAAGCAATGGAATTATAGGGGAAGGAAAGAGCAGGGGGAAATTTTACTTTTTGAGTACCTATTTGCTCTTGCTCTCTTCAAGATTTTTCTTTTAAACACAATGTTTACTTTATGGATCGAGGTGTAGAAGAAAGTCCAAAACGCCACAATGCAGTCAATGGCAGTGGCTTTCGAACAGAGTCTGAAGAAAATCTAAAGTTCCTTACAATCTAACTGAATACTTCACAGACAGAAAACTAGTAATGTTGGATAAACTTTATGGCTTTTCATAGGAGTTTATCACATGGGATGAATCCTGTGCAGAAACTAGATTTAAAGTGAAAGAGAAATAATGTGAAAATGAAAGCCAGCAAAACCTGCTTCTTTTTACTTTTGGGATATTCCAAAAATAGAAAGGTGTAGTTTTTGCTGACTTTTCGTCAGATTATTTTTGCGTTATTTCTCTTTCTGCCAACGCGTCTGAAAAACAACCGCATTTGTGGGTGTTTAGAGGATTTTAAAATCTCATTTCTGCATGGGATTTGTCTCCATGTGCCTCTGTGTGATCAACTCCATAGAATCAAGGAATCAT